GACACCGTGACTCACGCCAGTTGGCAGACAGACGACTGCTCGTTTTCCTTTTCCTTCGTAGGTTAGGTTCGTCAGGCGCCGTGACGCCCGTCGGCCTCCTCGCTCCGTCGCTCGGCGCCTTGCCGTGTCATCCTCGCCTCGCCTGCCGCTGGCCCGCTGCCCGCTGGAGCTGCACGCGTGGCGCGCCGCACGACAGTCCAGCAACCCAGCGGCCCGGCCATCCGGCATCCGGCAAGGCGGCACCGCGGCAATACGTATACAAGTATACATCCGACTGGCGACTACAAGTCTTGAAGTCTGCAACGCGGCCGTCCCCAATCCCTAAAGTACGTTTGGATGTTTCCATCCATGTTCCTCAGTTCCAGTCCATCCCCCAAACCCTAATTTGACAATTCCAGTACTTTATTTATTCTTTATTTAGTATTTAATTACGTATTCAACTATACATCCATGATCCATCCTCCAATTTCAGTATGCATGAAGTTTTAAATTTTCTAATTCAATCAATCATTTTTTTTGTCATTCTATGTACATGTCTTAGGGTTCCAATCATCCGATGTATAAATTCCTAATTCTTTGTATCCTCTTTTGATCTTTTCTTCATGATTTTAGGACATTAGCCTGCCATGTTACCTAAGAAGAAGCAATTGTCCGGTGCTGAAACAAGAAGGAAAAAGAAAGAAAGTGATCCGAAAATTCTACGATTGAAGGATTCTTTGAATAAGTTCTTTACATCTTCAAGCAATGTTGATGTCATTAAAGAACAGGGGCAAGAAACTACTCCCGAAGAAACCTTTTTTGAAGCACTGAAGTATTATTGTTGTCGATGGAGTCAGTCTAATTTGATTCTTATTTGAGGTAATTAATCATGTCATGTTAGTTTCATTTTGCATTTTTTTAGTATTATTGTTGTTGATGGAATCAGTTCGAATTTGGTTATTATTGTTCTCGATGAAGTCATTTGAATTATTATAGTCAAATCTTAAACTAAAGATGTGTGACTAAAAGTTACTCTTAATAAGTCATATATATAACGCACACGCATACATATATATGGTCTTAGGACTTAGGACATAGGGGCCCATGTTGTCGAGTTCGCCTAGGGCCTCCCAAAACATAGGGCCGGCCCTGCTCTCATCTGCACCCGTGATGATGAAAAAATCAATACAAATACTAGAATAATTCAAATAATTTCAAGCTGAACGTAGGTTGCTTGCTTTGGAGATTAGGAGAATGTTACTCTCGGAGGGAAACGGAACTTTCGAGAAACTAGGTTCTGCTTGCACCTTACGACAGTTTTAAAAAACAGTCCACAATCAAGCTGAACTACCTAGACATCTGGATCCAGATCCATGACTTACATGATGGTTAACGTGG